CGGTTTGGGAAATATTAAACCCAAACCCACCCAAAAAAATTAAAACCCTACGGTTTGTCTCTAATTGGGTTGGGTCGGGTTGACGATATTTTTAAGTAAAAACCCAACCCAACACAAAATATGTAATTAGTCTACACCATAAAAATATTTTATAACTAATTAAAATTTCAAACGAATAAACGGAGGTGAAATGTATCAAAATTCACAAATGTTGTTTAAATTTTAATAAAATGTGATTTACTTCAACATATATCTATTTTTTTCATGACATTTGTTGAAATAGGCTAAAAATATTATAAACGAACGCATCCATAATATGTTATTCTATTAAAATTGTATATAAGAAAAAGGATTACGTGAATCATAGCTATATTAAATCTATGTCTAAACTTTAACCCAAAAATGCATTAGATTAGAGAGACCATGTGAGAAAAACATAGTGAAATATCTTAATTTTCTCATAAGTATTACTATATACGACATAAATATTTTTTGGATACGAACTCATATCAATAGTTGGAACACGGGTTGGGTCGGGTTCTATGGGTTGTGTAATCCAAAATCCAAACCCAACCCAAAAAAGGCGGGTTGTACAAAAGAAAACCCTCACCCAACCCAAAATCTTAGTTATAGCGATAAATACGGGTGGGTTGGGTCGGGTTGGACGGGTGGGTCGGTTTGCGGGTGTATTTGTTCACCCCTAAATTCTCATCACCACTACTCCCACACGAGTGCCTGTCTTGTACCATAGCAAGACTTTCTAATAAGAACTTTGAATGATTCCGCACAGGAAGAGAAAGCGGGGAGAACCGATTGAATTTCTAAGGTTGGGAAACTAGAGGATAGTCATATAATCGGTTTTCCCAATGTCGCCTACATTTTAATTTTGACAAAATATCAATATTTTTTCGTGTGTTAATTAATAATGCAAAACATTCATTGAAAGTCTTGTTTAATTTGTCAATGTTTTTCCCCTTAAGTTGTACATTAAACCAGGTTAAAAAATAATTCATAGGGCGAGTATTTTTCATACTTTCAATGAAAAATATGAAAGTATGAAAAAACTCCCTCTAAAATGTAATAGCTACGTTGTTTTGTTGGAAACAAGTGAAATTTCTCGAAGAGGATTAATATAGAATTGACTTTACAAATCTGACTATTCCAACCAATTAAAATCTTGTAATAGTTATGATTTCTAGATGTACGAAAATGTTTCTTATTTTTTTCAACCGAGACTAGTTCAAAATCTGTACTCTATTTTCTTTGTATATTCTTTCATATGATCGTTAATATTAAAAAGACCTTATTGTGTTTCATTAAGCAAAACATGATATACATCTGTTACTAAAAAGTAATTAATATATATACTTAGTGACTACTTCGGTGCACTCACAAAAATGAATGTGTTTAATGCACCCAACTTAAAAACTAGTCTTAAGGTATCGAATTTTGAATTTTAATTTGTAGAATTAGTGTAATATGATGATATAACATATGATAACAACTAATTAGCGGATACCCTAAGCCCTAGACCTCCAATTTCGAGTTCTATCCCTAAACTCCAAATTGTAAACGCTAACCCTAAATCTCTAAACTATATATATAACAAAGACGAATATTACCAAATCCATATACAATCAATGCTCATATATATTTTTAAAATCCCCGTCGTCAATATCATTGGCGACGAATTGGCCAAAGTCATGCCAAATTGAGCCTAAGCTTGAGTAATTATTGAACAATAGCACCATGGCCACATAAATATCTCCTATAATCCCATTACAAGCAAGGAAGCAAGCAAGCAAACTCGACTGGTAAAGCGTCAGCTTAAGTTTGTTACCAACTTACCAAGTGCCAACAGACAACCGAAAGTAGTAGCAGAAGTTCGTCGCCAAAAATCCCATATCAGTCGCTAAAAAGTAGTGTTCTCGAATCTCGAGACAACATAAGCAAATGACGCCAGCTCGTAATGAAACGGGGTCAGGAAGTAAAATGCACTCGGCCAATTGTCATGGCCCAAAAAAACTGACCCATCAGGCCCAGTTCTTGAGAAGAATTCACTCGACCCATTGGCAAGAGAACAAAAGGGAGGGACTGGAGGATAGAACCCACAGTTATCAGCCAATCATTCTACCATCAGCCCAGTTGTCACGGTCCAAACAATGCCGACCCATTAGGCCCAATAATTGAGAGCAATTATCTACGCAGGCAGGCCCATTGGCAAGGGCAAAAAAGGAGGACCAGAGGAGGAGAACCACTCTATATCAGTCGACATTCCGCCTACAGCTCACTCTATGCGAAAGTGACTTCACTAGTTCACTACCATCTAGGGATGGCAATGGGTAGGGTCGGGTGCGGGTTTACCCTATACCAACTCCTAACCCGCCGGGTAGAGCCTTCTAAAATACCCGACCAAATAACCACCGGGTATGAAAATTATATAACCATACCCTACCCACCGGGTAACCACGGGTATTCGGGTAACCATGGGTACGAATCCTAAACTATGAACTTATACACATATATGCACATACGTACTGTTGTCCATTAAAAATTCTCAATACTTCTAATTGTTCTAGCTTCAACAATCCACACAAATAAAAACAACAAAAACATAATAATTGTTCTTGCTTCTACAGTCCACACAAACATAATAATCGTCTACATCATCATCAATAATGGTAGCTAAACTAAATTTCTCAAGGGAAATTAACCCTTTGGTAAGCGGGCGGGTATAACGTGGCGGGTATTATCGATTACCATACCCGTACCCTACCCTTTATTTTGAAACCGGGTATTACCCGTACCCGCCCCTTAACCCGTCAAAGCGGGTAATTACCCTCGTTGACCGGTTACGATCGGGTAGGGTACCCATGGTTATGGGTTGGATTGACATCCCTACTACCATCCCTCTCACTGCTTTACTCTCCTCTGCTTCACTCCCTTCCCTTCCATGGAAGGAAAAGCGAGCATGGTCCCTTTCCTCTTCCTCACCTTCGTCCTCTCCCTCTCTCCATCCCAGCCGGCTCCACTCCTCCAATCTCAAACCCTAGTCCTCAATCGTCTCCCTTCCCCTCCTCAATCCCTCTCCTGGTCCGACGCTGATGAAGAATCCCAGCCCTCATCTTCATCCGCCGGCGGAGATCCCGAATCTGCAGACTCCATTTTCTCCCTTCAGCTGCACCATGTGGATGCTCTTTCCCCCAACGGAACTACTCCTCAGCAGCTCTTCAATTCCAGGCTCCTCCGCGACGCTTCCCGTGTCAAGAGCATCGAATTCGCCTCTGCCGCCGCCGTCGGCAGAGGAGCTGGAGCTGGATTCAGCAGCTCAGTGATTTCCGGACTCGCGCAGGGCAGCGGCGAGTACTTCACGCGCCTCGGCGTCGGGACTCCGCCGAGGTATGTGTACATGGTTCTGGATACAGGGAGCGACATCGTCTGGCTGCAGTGCGCTCCGTGCAAGAAATGCTACTCGCAATCCGACCCGGTTTTCGACCCGAGAAAGTCCAGCTCCTACGCCGGGATCCCTTGCGACGCTCCGATCTGCCGCCGCCTGGACTCCCCGGGCTGCAATTCGAGGAAGCGGACGTGCCTCTACCAGGTCTCTTACGGGGACGGTTCCTTCACCACCGGCGATTTCTCCACCGAAACGCTGACGTTTCGCAGGACGCGCGTAGCGCGCGTGGCGGTAGGGTGCGGCCACGACAACCAAGGGCTGTTCGTCGGAGCGGCGGGTCTGCTGGGGCTCGGGAGAGGGAAGCTGTCGTTCCCGTCGCAGACAGGCCGGCGATTCAACCGGAAATTCTCCTACTGCTTGGTGGACCGGTCGGCGTCGGCCAAGCCGTCGTCGATGCTGTTCGGCGACAAGGCGGTGTCCCGCACCGCTCGTTTCACGCCGTTGATTTCAAATCCCAGGCTGGACACGTTTTACTACGTGGAGCTTCTCGGGATCAGCGTCGGGGGGACACGTGTCCCGGGGATCACGGCCTCGCTTTTCAAGCTCGATCCAACGGGGAGCGGCGGGGTGATCGTCGATTCGGGTACCTCCGTCACAAGGCTGACCCGACCCGCGTACGTCTCCCTCCGCGACGCATTTCGGGTCGGGGCGGGGAACCTGAAGCGGGCTGCCGACTTCTCTCTGTTCGACACCTGCTTCGATCTGTCGGGGAAGACGGAGGTTAAAGTGCCGACTGTGGTGCTCCACTTCCGTGGCGCCGATGTGTCGCTGCCGGCGTCGAATTACCTTATCCCCGTGGACACCTCCGGCGCGTTCTGCTTCGCGTTCGCCGGTACGATGAGCGGGCTGTCGATCATAGGGAACATTCAGCAACAAGGGTTCCGCGTCGTGTACGACTTGGGCGGGTCGCGGATTGGGTTCGCTCCTCGCGGGTGCGCCTGAGCCCTGAGCTGGCTTCCACTGTGGTCGAAGAAAGCCCTGGAACTGAAGTAGTAGAAAATGAGAGTTTTTTAGCTGGCTTCCACTGTGTGGGTGATATGTACCGAAGGCCAGATTAGAGGTTTCCTTTCTGCTGCGGAACGACGAGAAATAGATTACCTCATTCCCGCCCTTTTGTTATTGTAATAGTTTCGCTCCTTTCCTTTGTTTCTGGAAGCTGTGAAATGGATTATCTCATTTCAATGTTCGATTACTTGACAGTCAGTTCTCGATATAAAAGCTTTGACAGTTAAGCAAGCGTAGCACATCATCCACAAGTGTTCGAGCAAAAGTGTCGCTCTCAGTCTTATACGTAAACATCGGCATTTCATCATCATCGCCAATTTGCCATAGCAAATTCTCCGCACAGCCAAACCAAGGAGTTCAAAATGACCAGCCATAAAAACTATTACTACCACCAATAAGGGCTAGCACCATATAATTATATATATAAGCTTTGGTAGTTTTAGCAGAATAGCATCATAACACATCATCCACAAGTGTTTGAGCAGAGAGTGCAAGTATGACAGCAACAATGACGCGGTCTAATAAGATAGAGTAGTCACACATGACAGTCATCATTATCATCGACCAACGCCATAGCTAAATTATCAGAACAGCGAAACCAAAGAGTTCAAAAACACTAAATCCTAAGAACTACTACCACCCCTAAGGGCAAGCACCAGATGAAGCACGGAGCCTCCTTCAATGTTGTAGTCACGAGCAGTCTTGTCATCTGCCAGCTGCTTCCCTGCATATATAAGCCTGCATATCGAAGAACAACAGTTTACATGTCAAAGTGTTATAAAATGGATTTTTGAGTGTAAGGCACTGAATTAAGGATTTTACTAACCGTTGCTGCACAGGAGGGATTCCTTCCTTCTCCTCAACTCGTTCCTTGATTCGGTCGATGGTATCATTCGGTTCAATGTCAATCTCAATCTCTTTCCCTGTAAGGGTTTTGACCTTGATCATGGTGCCTCCCCTGAGCCTCAAAACCAAGTGAAGTGTGGACTCCTTCTGAATGTTGTAATCAGCAAGCGTCCTCCCTTCTTCCAGCTGCTTACCAGCAAAAATCAACCTCTGCTGATCCGGGGGAATCCCTTCCTTGTCCTATAAAAAGATTCAACCAAAATCCATTAAGTAACCCAGCAACCAATTGCCACACCAGAAAATAAGCCCGACGAAGCAATTCGTTTATCATAAGTCATATCTACAGATTCCACGTAAACTTGAAAGTGCGCAAACCCAAATCGAAGAGTTCTGTATGAAGCATATAGGAAAAGCAGCAATAACTTTCCATCCTAAGCTCTACACTTGGAGAGTATAACCATCAAAGAGAATATACTCTTACTAGCTACTTGTTATACTGATCTTGCTAGCTCTAGTTCAATCTATAGGATCAGTTTACATTCAAAGAGGCAGTAAACAAAACATGTTCCGACTGTCACTGCTAATCTTACTTGCTCTATTCATGAGTGTTTCACAATCATATAAACAAACATATGTTCTGACTTACATTTTCTACTAATCATGTAAAAAAGTTGACTTTTTCAACTCTTAACCTATAAGTTTGGGAATCATAAGCATTAGACAACATATGTTCGACCTCTCACTACTAATCTTGCTTGCTACTATTATAATCTTTAACTTACAGATTCGACGGAAAAATCGAGGACATAATAAACCCAAAGAGAAGACATTTCTGATAACCGCATAATATTATGAATATTTTTTTGACTTCCAACCTATAAGCTGGTGAAATATAAGCATCAAAGACTATGTTTCTAAGTTCCAACTTCCAAAACTAATCTTCATTGCTCCAATCCATTCAAGTTCCAAAAGCTAAAACCAATCATATCATTAGCCTAACATACGCCCAACAGAGGTTTCCATCACCAACAACAATCTCAATTGGATAAATGAAGTAAAGACGACCCAAATATCCAGTCTCATTTTCCGACGGCACTACAACGTTAAAGCTCAAATTACTGACTGGAAGCTCCTGAATCCAATCCCGAATAACAAAGCGAAAATACTGAGCGACCCACTAGAGATAGAGAGACCGAGTGAGAGATAAAAGGGGGACCTGAATCTTGGCTTTGACGTTGTCGATGGTGTCGCTGCTCTCGACCTCGAGAGTGATGGTCTTGCCGGTGAGCGTCTTGACGAAGATCTGCATCTCCTTTATTTCTGCCTTCCTTTGGCTTGAAGCCTTGAACTGAGTTCGTAACTTAGGAAAGCAGAAACCACCGCCAAACAGCGCCGGCGGCAAATAGCGAGAGCAGAGCGGAGAAGAGGGAAAACTCGTCAGTTCGCGTCAATCGGGAGATAGAGAACTGTTTTGTTTTTCCCCCGGTTTTATAAAATTAGAGGAGAATAATATTTTGAGCAGGTGGTGGGTGGGCCCCACTCTGTGATTCCCCGTAGCGTGGGAGAGACGAATGGGCCCGCGGGCCTGGCCTTCTGCTCCCTCTTAAATGGATTCCCATGAGGATAATTACGACTCAAGCCCAATAATGGGATGGGCCCACATCTCCATTCTCAACTTCTGTTCCATGGCCATTATTTTTTTTTTTTTAATTTAATTGTTTGTAAGTATTAGGGTTAATAGCATTTTGTACCCCTCTACTATGGCAAATTAACAAATATACCCCTCTACTAAAATTTTGCACAAATATACCCTTCTAAAATAAAAACGTAACTAATATACCCTTCCATCCAAATATCTGTTAAGTGACCTTCAAAGGAGTTGTGAAATGACTCAATTACCCTAATTTACTCTTAAATACTCCTAATTTTGATTTTAATTATTTTATGTGCCAAATCAATAACTAAAAAAATAAAACCCTAAACTAATTTCTCGGAGCCGCCGCGGGGCTGTTGTCTTCGTCCTCATCACCACCGCTCCTTCTCGCAGGGAGCACTTTGGGTATCAGATGTCCCCAAAGGGAGAATTATCAGGGGTCTCATGAATTATCAGGGGTCTCATGTATTATTACCACCATCGCCACAAATCTCTGCCTCCGGAGCCGCCTCTCTGTATTCCCCTCACTCAGACCCTCCGCCGTCGCCGTCGTCTTCGTCAAGGTGAGATTGCTACCGGCGGCGACGAATCCGGAAAGCTAGTCATCCGCTCCTCCCTGGTCTGATACGGGTAGTTATAGCTATTGATTCCGGTGTAGATTCCATCGTTCATCTCGTATGTGATTGACTGATTTCTGGGGAAGAGACGTTTGTGCGTGCGAATTAGTTTAGGTTTTTTATTTTTTTATTTACTGATTTTGGGTATAAAATAATTAACATCGAAATTAGAAGTATTTAAGAATAAATGCGGGGTAGTTGAGTCATTTCACATCATGTTTAACGGTCACTTAACAGATAAATGGATGGAAGGGTAAATTTGTTACGATTTAATTCTAGAAGGGTATATTTGTGCAAAAATTTAATAAAGGGGTACATTTGTTAATTTATGATAATAGAGGGGTACAAAATGCTATTAACCCTAAGTATTATTACTAGTTTTGGTACTCGGGAAAGTTGGGCAAAGTGAATAAGAAGCAATAAAAAAAAATTCACTAATCTGGTGGGTGAATGGTAATAACTAATAACTAATAATGGCTGTGTGAAAAAAAAAACAACAACAGGTATTTCCCCTCGACAGAGTCCAACTTATTGCCCCAACAAAAGCAGTACCGTTGGTTTTTACCCAATTTGGATGCGAGGTGAAACATTGGAGTCAATGCTTCTTAATGAGTTAGATTAATTTCGGTTGGAGTCGAGGCTTCTTAAGGTTTTATTAGCCTTTGTATAGGACTGTCTTCGTGAACCTTGGCTTGCAAAGATTAGTTTGGCACCATGTAGGATTTTCATTAGTTTAGCTCTAGGCATGGTTTCATATTTGTAATTTGACCTTGACGATCTAAGCAAATTGATCGATTTTCCCACTAACAAAACTTTGAATTCAAAAAATGATGAATAGATTTGTTGTCGGTGGTGTTGACACTAACTCTTTTTTCGTGAGTGAAGCTTCACACCGAATTCGTATGTTTCTTTATAAAACTTTGAATGTTGACACTAACAAAGAGATGCTCCTACAATTGTTATTAAGGATCCTTCTCAATACCGTGGGCGTGTTAGCAAGTTCAAACATACAGTAAACAAGAATGAGATCGTGATTCGAGAACCTGACTATATTTTCTTTCCAACTAGCGGTCAAAAAACTACAAGATATAACTAAGTAAAAGAAAAAGAGATTTGGGAAGTTTGAGGAATGATGAGAGCCTCATCCAAACCAGAGGGAAGTTATAAATTGGTTGGAAGAGATATTAAATACGATGTTGGGAAGAAGAAGAAAGAAGTTAAGTTACGGGTGAAGGTGATATTAAATGCTTTGCACCTTCCTATTCCCCATCCACATTCAATCCTAGACATTGAATTGCACCCAACCAGCCTAACTAAACGTACATCCCCTCTTTCTTCTATATATATATATATATTGTTTTAACTAATGAAACCTCATGTGTATTAATTAAATCGTAGACAAATAAAATCAAACGTTTGACCTGCCCTTGCTAGTGACCAGGTACTTTGGAAACCAAATGAGAGTTCAATCAAGTCCATTTATAATCACGAGACAAATAGAAGTGAGAGACCAACCTACAAGTTTACTATATAATTAGTTTGTATACCTCGAGGGTGAATGCCGTTTACATAAATGAAATGGACTTTGGTGGTAAGATAATATAAATCGCATACGAAAAGATTGAGCGTATCATTGATATGACGATCAGATGACAAGTTATGCTCAAAAAGATGGACACAGTTTCGCTGGCAAGATCACGTGAACGATGACCAACTTTTCAATTAAATGTGAGCATATGGTAAATGGGCACTAGATGCTTGAGTACGGTAAGTTCGTATTGATATGTCATTTGGTATTTAGAGTAGTTTGATTGCAATATCATATGTATATGTTATATGTTCGTATGAGTAGCGTTTCGTCTTATTTTACTTAAAATGTTAAGTATGGATATCGACAGAATAGTACAATCTCCTCTATCCTCTTGTGCTCTTCGTCACTATCAGCATTATTTAAAAATTCAAACTGCCAATATGTGATTGAAATCATCCTTAATTATATTCTTCTCCGAACAATCTGACTTCATGGTATGCTCAATTTTGACTAAGTAACTAAAAGTTCGAACAAGCTAATTAAGTGACTCTAATTGCTTTGTAGACTACGGATTCAAGGACCTAACAAATTATACCAGAGAATAAAGAAATGTAGCATTGGAATTTGGAAATATCGATCAAAATATAACCAATCTTATAGTACTCGCTCTAGCAAATGAACAAGCTTATTAGATGCAAACTTTATACCACATAAGATATGAATGATACAAATCAGTGGAAGCATTAAACAAATAATGCATCACTTAAAGTACGTTTGAATCATTTTGTTTTTCCAAAATTTATACATGTTTTTTTTCATCATAAAATGTAAAGAGCAACACTAATTGATTACGAGGGTCAAGAACTCTAATTGAATCAAACAAAATAAATAAAGAACATTATAATCTAAAATAATATATTTTGACACTGTGGCGAAGTGAGGTTTAACACAAGAGGGGTACAGCTCGCCTAAATTTTTAAACATGGATAAAATTACATGTAAATTTTATGATATATTTAGAAAATAGAGTAGTCGGTAGATCTTAACCTCCTTTCCTATTACAACTGTTCAAATCAGTTTCCTATCATTCATATTCCTACATTTGCCACTTCTTTGATACGTTGTATTTAAAAGAAAACACGAAGAGGCAAAAATAGATCAAAAAGTGACCCCTCCTCAACCTGAGAGCGAATCCGACCAGGAATCAAGCAGCGCCGCCACAGTCGTCACCCTCTTGGCTCGTTCGCTCGACTTCTTGTGGGTTTCTAATACCCCTGTCTCCTCTCACTTGCTGCACCAGCTCCCTCCTATCTCTCCTTTGGTTCCTTACTCCAGACTGTTGAGTTTGAAAAGAATTAGTAGGGAAAAGTCTTTTTTCGTCAACGTCCGTCCCATAAAGATCTGTAAAGCAATAGTTTGTAGAAGAAATAGAGGCATGAAGGGGAGTGAGTTCTTGGGTTTGTGAATGGGATTCAGTGAGAGTTGCAGGGGATATATTGAAAGAGGACGTCATTTACATTAATGAAATGGGTGTCGGAGATCAGATAAACTACGCACGAGAGAATCCAAAGTATCAATGATATGACGATCAAAAGATAACTTATGGGTAAAAAAGGTGGACATAGTTTTGTTGGTGAAGTCACTCTCTTGCGGAATAAATAGGTGACGGATGACCAACGTTTTCAATTAATGGTGAACAATTGGCAAATGAGCACTAAATGCTCGAGTACTAAGTTTGTATTTACATGTCATTGGGTATTTAAGGTGCGTTGAGTGTATCATAATATGTATCACTTGTATAGTCGGTTTGAGTTACATTTCATTTTAAGATACTTAGATTGTTATTTGGTATGCATCTTAAGTGAGACATAATATTATGTTTATTTCAACTAACTATGACTTTTGTTCGTATAGGTCCCTTTCTATCATTAAGTTGATTGAATTGGCAACCCACTAGTTGTTAGTTTAGTTGATAACTCTAATAAAGATAATTGGAGTCACTTTTATCATAATTACTCCAACTTTTGGTTGCAAATATAAAAACTTAATAGAACAAATTTTAAAACTTTCTTTGTGTCCCATAGGTTAATCTTCGCTTCGTATGATCCCACCAGATCCTTGTATTGTAAAATTAAAATATTAATTTGATCTCTCATCTAATAAGGTACATTACAAATTCCTTTCTTCTCCCCATCATTGTTATCATTATCTATAACAATCAATATGTCTTAAACATAATCTTTAATTATAATCTTCGATAAATTCTATTCTTTGAACAACCCCATTGCGTGGAATGTTCCATTTCACTATGTTCCTTAGTAACTTGTAGTTAAAACAAGTTACTCTAATTGCTTTGTAGAATACGATTGAGACTCAATGCTTCACAAATTATACAAGAGCAAATAAAGATATGTACCATTAGAACTATCAATTAAATGAAAACCATTCTCATAAAACTCACTCTACGGGACTCACTCTAGCGAATGAATAAGTTGATTAGATGCGGACTTAATATCATATAAGATATGACACTAGTCATCCGACACGAAAGCAGGCAAGCATTTTCTTTTATCAAAATCTTTATATCTTGTTTCTGTTATGAAATGGAAAAGTGCACGACTAATTGTATCAAACAGAATCACAATAGAACATTAATCTAACTCCGATATTTAACAATTTGACAGGCAATAAAGAAATATGCAAATGAACAAATCAACGAAAAATCAAACAATGACCCCTCCTCAAACACGCAAAAGTGTTGGTGATGGGTTTAAGGGAAGCGAGTCGTAGAGAGATGAGTCCCTTTATTGTCGAGACAGATTGTCAGGTTCTTGTTAACCATCTCAAGAAAGGTGGAGAGGATTTCACTGAGCTCGATTTCTGGTGCGAGGAGCTGAAGAAAATGGCGAAAGTGAATGGGGCTTTTTCGGGTTGTGAAGTTAGGTGGGAGTTTAGACCGAGAAAGACCAATTCTGTGACCCACTGTTTGCCTCATTCTGGGTTGGGTTGGGATCAACAGATTGTTGAGGTTGAAAACCCCCCTCTTTCCCTTTGTTGTATGATTGAGGCTGATTTGGGCCAGGATCCCTGACCAATTAATATAATTTCCCAATTTCCTATAATAATAATAAATAAAAAAAACGCTAAGCATTGATGGAATGAAATAAAACAAAAGAGGAAAAAAATAGAAACAAAAAAGGAGAAACATAAATTGAGGGAGTAGAATTTCAATAGCCATAATAAATGAGGGTGCCATACATTTACGTGCCTCCTTTTCCTTGCTTTCCTTGAATTCTTCCCCTCCATCCGCCCGCCCAACCCCTAAACCATTAATACTCCATTAAACACACCCGCTCTTCCTCAAAAGTAATTTAATGAAACCATTAATCACAAATCAAACACCATTAGTTTTCTTTATCAAAAAGTTTCTTTTGCATTCATAGCCGCTAACCATATTTACCGGTCTCATTATGTCAAACATTTTCACCCTCTCTCTTAATATTTCCCCATTTCTAGTTCTTTTTGTTTCAAATAAGAAACTACAATTTAAAAGTGATTAAATTACTAAATTCACAATATTTAACCGGTAGCGGGCCATGAACACGTTGTATGGTAACGGCCAGGGTTACAGGTCATGTGAAATCATACGGGGTTGGTGGTCATAAACAAGCTCGGTGCATGACAACGGTTACGAATACAGGTCATGTAAAATAATAAATGTACAGATACAGCATGTCAGACAACAGTTATGAGTTGCAGGTGAAGATGAGAATACCGGCCATTTTAGGTCATGGGTCTCTCTATGACAGTCAATAGGTTAATTTGGATTTGTAATTGACATTATACTACATTATTTCTCTTTCAAAACTATTTCATTGCCCGAGGATAATATTGAATGATGATCACCTTGTTAACTTCAAATGTAGCTAATAGACATATTTTCATTCGAAAAAAGCTCACAAAGGTAGTGCAATACCAATTTAAAATTTCCTCACTAATTGAGTTGTCAAAACAAATCAATAAATCCAAATTTTGTTGACACTCTAATCATGCTAACATCACCAAGGGAGAAGCACTATGTTGACAATTCAGTATTTACAAACAAATCCCCCCCCCCCCCCCCAACCAAAAAAAAGCAATGAATTGAGACTTCCATATTGAATTTACTATAATATTCTTCACATCTTAGAATTCAATACAATATAAATAATGTAAGTTAGGTATTTTGCGCGTTTAATTTTTCATCAATAGAGAAAAAACAATGAGTTGACATGTTAGGATAATGAATTTTGTTTACATTGTCTTTTCATATATTTCTATTTAATTTTTGGGCTTTTCGTTTTTTCCCGATTAATTATTATTTGGACTTCTCATAATACCATTTCCATAATATGTGTTATTAGTAATTGCGATAAGATATATACAAAAAAAAAGCACTTACGTATCCCCTTCTCTATTTATTACTCAAATCCTTCCGTTCATTTCCTTCTCTTCTTTTCCTCCAACTCTCTCCCTCTATCCCCTCTCTCTCTCTCTCTCTCTCTCGCCCAAAACCAAAAGGAAGAAGAAGCCTTTCACCAAGCAGAGAGAGTTCCATATGGCGGCCGATGTTAGCTACCTTGTCAGGGGTATGAGCGCCTACAAGAACGATCGGGCTGTCGGCGCCGGCGAACCCTCTCTGATTACAAGGGATTTGCTCGGAGGCGGCGGCGGCAGTACTAGCTCCGCCGTCGGTGGGTCGGACGGCAATGAGTTTCAGGAATTGGACCTCGACGTCCAAGTCCCCGCTGGCTGGGAAAAGCGCCTCGATTTGAAGGTACTAAAACCCCAAAGATGAAATTTCCTTCCTTTCCATTTTCAGCTTCACTCGTCCTTCGGGACCAAGCAGAATTCGCTCCCAATTCCGAATGCAACGTCGGAATACAGGCTCTGTTTTTTTGGGCTAATGAACACCCATGTCTCTGTTTTCTCAAGAACTCATTCTCCAAAGATAAACTACCCCTTTTTTTTGTCAATTTAATTGATATTATTATATTATTGTATCATTGAATGGTACGGTAATTGAGAATTGAGATGATAATCTTTGTATTTTGGTTTCTTTGAGAAGAAGTTTTGAGTAATTAAGTCGGGTAGGAGTCATTAATGGCGGGGTTGGAAGATTTTTTTGGAGGAAATCAAGTGGGTATTATAATGTGGAAATTAATGAATGGTGTTCTTGAATGCTCTGCAACTTCTTTAATCCCTCCCTATAGATGTTATTATTATGATTCTTTTTTACTCATCCCCAAACTCATTTATTATCATTTGCCTTTAATAAGCCCCCCAAAACCTCCCTCTCTGTAATTAATGGTCAAGTGAAAAAAAATGAAACCAAACTTCAATTCATCCATCCTCTTCCATGGGGAAAGAAAACTTGTACCTTGAGAGTATTAAGGTGTTGGGTTCGAGTTTCATCGTAGAAAATTATTAAGTCCTTGTTATGGAATTAATTTCCAAGACATTTATGAATTAATTTGTGGAGATACTCTGTTTTTTGTTCATTTGGTGCAGACAGGGAAGGTGTACTTGCACAGAAGCAACGCATCATCAGCTTCGCCGTCGTCCTCCTCCGACCACCGCCACAACCTCAGCCAAACGTTCCCCAAGCTCCAGGATTTGAACTTCCCGCCGTCGTCGTCGAGAATCACGCTCAACCTCTTCGACGAGAGCAGCCTGGAGCTGAAACTGACCGCCGCGGCAGCAGCCAACTACCAAAGCGTCTGCACTCTGGACAAGGTCAAATCGGCCTTAGAGCGGGCGGAGAGGGAACCCGTCCACGCCGCGGCGGCGGGAAGGAAACGGTTCCCGGCGGGGAAGTCGTCCCTGTCCCCTTCTTACTCGTCCTCGTCGTCGTCTCTGTTTCTGGCTTCTTCAGGGGAGGAAGAAACAGAGGAAGCAGGTTCCCCTGTGGCGGCGGGATGCCCTGGGTGCTTGTCGTACGTGCTGATCATGAAGAACAATCCCAAGTGTCCGAGGTGTAACTCGGTTGTCCCGATGCCGGCGATGAAGAAGCCGAGGATCGACCTCAACATCTCCATTTGAAGGCGGCGGCGTTTCTTTTTTGTACATGAATAGATAGGAGGAATTAAGGTTTAGGAATTAAGGCAGGAAGGCAGGCAGGGGATGGATTATTAATTAAGGACAGCAAAAGGGTATATTAGAGGGGAGCCGGGAAGGGGTATAAGAAAGACAAGGATTTTCATTATTATATATGATGGTTAGTTAATGCATATAAACTATGGTTATGGAGTTATAATTTTTGTTTTTATTAGGGTTTAATCATTGTTCTTTCTGGGATTTCCTCTGTTTCATTTTTGGCCATGGACGTTTGTTTGCTTGGGCCTTAGAAGCAGGGATGGCAATGGGTCGGGTTGGGTCGGGTTTTGCCAAACCCAAACCCAAACCCATGGGTTTATCTTTGAAAAAAAATCCGGGGTAAAATCCACCGGGTTTGAAAAACTCAAACCCAACCCAACCCATTGGGTATCCACGGGTTCATGGGTACCCACGGGTTTTGTCGTAAGAAATTTAAAATTACAAGTTCTTATCAAAATTGAAGTCAAATATCAATATCTCATTATAAATTATCCATATATAAAACACCATTCTAGAAAATTCAAGCAAATAACAAATTAACTATACAAATTGTTCAACACCAATCTAGAAAACTCATGAAAATTGAAGCAAATCACAAATTATCCATAAATAACATGTTTAATTGAAAGCTTCTTTCTTTCAATTAAGTTTCTTTAGTCTCCACTCCATAACATCAACTTCATTCTACACAATTAAAAAGAAAAAATTAGACATGTCTCCACAAACATAAATAAGAATAGTTATTTCGAATATTAAATATACCAAAAAAATTAATTATATGAGTGGGCGGGTACCCACGGGCCGGGTTTACCTAAACCCAAACCCAACCCAACCCGGTGAATAGTAAACGGGTTTAAACCCAAACCCGGCCCAAAACCCGTCAACACGGATTTTACCCGCGTTGACCGGATTGGGTCGGGTGGGTACCCGTGGGTTCGGGTTTTGTTGCCATCCCTACTTAGAAGGTGCGGGTGCATTTAGATATTTGGTCCTAGATTGCGTTGCAGGTGTGGAGACGTGGGCAAAATCCTCGTAAGAGTAGCCACTGCAGTTCCAGTTTACTTTACAGGGTCTGGAAGGTGAAAAATAATAAATTGAATAACATTAATACAAAAAAGTGGCAGGGGAAAGGCCGTGGAGTAATAAATAAGTTGGATTTTAAGTGAGTTATATTATGTCCATAGCCATGCATGGAGTTGGAGAATTTACGTTCTAGCTAGTCAATCGCTACTTGAAACTAAATTGTACCAAAAGGTTGATTCGGAACCATTTTATTGTTACTGTTATCATTGTTTTTAATATGTTTTATATCGATTCGATTTTATAATCCAATAAAATTCATGCGGGACTTTCGACGGTACGTCTCCAAGCCAATTCGAATTTACTTAATGCCCTATAGCTTATAACGACAATATCATATGTATTTGGTTTTGATCATATTCACGTTCAAATTCACAGTAAAACAGTAATGATGAAAGCAACTTATATGTAAAACGAAAAAAAAAAATAGAGTTGCTAATTGCTCAAATCTTTTCCATAAGTAATTATGCAACGAATTTCCTTGCAAATGCAAGACACCATGAAGAGATGGAGTTAGGTGGCGATCGAGTACTAGGGTTTAGAGACTAAATTTAAGTATATGTACCATGCATGTACCTAGGAATGGCAATGGGCAGGTCCGGAGCGGGTTTCTTGGTACCCAGACTCGCCCGTGGCAGGTCGGGTCCAGGTTGGGTAATTGATCACGGGTCGCGGGTCGGGACAGGTCGACCTAATGGGTATGCAATTTATATGCAATTTACATTAGAAATATTCGTTATTTTTATTATGAGACTAAGAAAACAAACAATATTATGACAATTGTTGTTAAATTATTGGAGAAATTGAGATTTTTACTAATTTACAACTTTATTATAGCCAAAATATGAAGCAATAAAAGGAAAATTCTAAGTAATTTGACTAAGATTATATGTAAATTAGACAAGAACGGGTCGAGAATGGGGCGGGTCAGGGCAGGTCGGGTCGATGAGACTACCCATGCCCGCCCCGCCCAGCCTACGGGGCGGGTCGGACCTGCCCCAAAACAGGTCGGGTAAAACGGGTCAGGTCGAAATTGCCATCCCTACATGTATCCATTAATGATACCAAACTTAGGACACTCAATTCGATCGAATATGGTCTATTGTCTATTGTACACATTTGTTTGATTGTAATGAACCCATGTCTTATCTACTCTTATCTACCCAACTACTACAGTACTACCGCAAATTTTTTTTTTTTTAAACAAAAGATCATCATATATTGATTAGACAAAAAGATCATTACATCCTGAAGCGAAGTCAGGCCAGAAAATCAAAGAAGCGACACGTAGACGGGTACAAAGCGAGGGCCTTTCTAGCCACCAAATGGGCTACCCTATTGTTCCTCTGACCTACAAATCGCACACAAAACTGTCTACCCAGAGCCAGGAGACCAGCCACTTCTTCAAGGAGCACCCCTATGCGATTATCCCTGGTATCTCCGCCATTAATCTTATCAATTATAACCTTGGCGTCCCCAGCAAAGCACACTTCTGAAAAACCACGATCCAGACACCACCTGACAGCCTCCCTAAGAACCATAATCTCAACAATCAAAGGGTCATCAATGCCTGGGAACTGGATCCCTTTGGAGGAAAGGATGTCACCCCCCTGATCCAGGATAACCATTCCCCCAGCAGAGTACTACCGCAAAAATTATCATACTCTATAAGCCTTTTGTTTGATCTGTAAATTTAATGACAATTATGATACCTTTGCATTCTTTTGTACATGAAAACAAGGTAGCTACAGCCATCTTGTTCTTGTGAAACTAACTGAGGAATCGTAATTATGTATAGCTTTCTACCATAGCTAGCTAGCTTCTTGACAGTCTTTATGTCCATAATGGTTTTCAGAACCCTATTTTAGCCAAAATTTTCCCCTTTTATGGGGAGGGGATGGGGAAGTAAAAATGCCCATATAGAAGTATATGTAGGAACTGAAGTAAAGGGTGAGAGAAGAAGCCAAGCAGCAATGGAATTAATGCAAGGGATGGGGACGTATATCCATGAACTATTATGATAGAATACTTTCACAGTTTAAAAGTGTATTTTATTATTAATTGATTTGCTGACCCAATTCATGTATGTTATCTAGACCAATAAATATCCATTTATGCATGTTTTCACTCCCTAATAAACTGTTTTGTTCTAACAAACGAGTTCTTTGAAAGCCAACTTAGAAGAACCATAACCAACACAAAAAAGAAAAAACCCATCATTTTGGTACACAATCTGATGAGGAGCATGTATATAAATGTATGAAAACTGCTTGCACCCACTTCAGTACTATTCTGCACTTGGGTTTCAATTCAAATGATGAGAGATAGAGGGAGAGATGTATAATAATAATATTTGCTGTTGCTGTTAAATGTAGTTGGGCTTTGAAAGAGTGTGGTGGTGGTGGTGCATGACTCATGAAGGCTAATTATGGCCATTTACTACACCCAAATTCATTTAATATTACCTAACATCACCATAAATGAGAAATTAATGACTTTGCTCTTTCCTCTTGTTCCATTCATCATTCTCTTCAAAGTTACTCCCCAACTACCTTTTTTCTCATTACTCTTATTTTCACTTCCCATATATATATCTCTCTGGGTTTACTTGCCATTCACTGCATGCAAACCAGCTCCCACAGATCAATATAGCATCTTCCCCAAATTGGGGTTTTCTTTGTTTTTCATACCACACAAGAAGATTTTTTTGGGCATACATACTTTGGATTTTGATCATCAATGTTCTAATTAATGATTCCTCCATGACACAAAGCTAGCTAACAATATAATTTTTTTACTTCATGACATACTGATATCAAAGTCGCCGAACATATATATGGTCCAACAAAGAATAGAAAACAGAAACAGGACTATGAAAGGGGCCTTCATATAATTTAGTCGAACCACGATCTTTTACTGAGCAAATGAAATAAATTTGGGTCTTCTTAATCTTTAAGTTCTCTGTGTGGTATTCGGACGTTAATTAACTTACAATTAATGTTTGGAGTAATTGGTCTCGAACAATTTTTATAGAAAAAGAAATCAACCTGCACACCTCAATTACTTCCTAGTTTGATTCATGGGCTTCAATCAATATATAATTTTACACCGAGTCTCTTTTGTTTTTATTAGTCGTTGAAACTAGATCACTCTTTCGAGTCAATTCAAACACCATTAAAAAAATGGTAGGAAGACAAGTCATATATATATATATATATATATATTAGTTGGGAATGCTGACTTAGCAGCTTTGTTAGGAGAAGGTGGACTTTGTAGAAATCTTAGTAGGTTAACTGTCTATGGCTAGTAGTAACACAGACCTCACGTACCCCCAACAGATTCCGACGACTAAAACACAAACGTGTGCATTACTATCCAGTTAAGTCGACCGACGACCATAATATCCTTTGAACATATACAGCTGCCGTTTTCTGTACGTACGTAGCTACAGGTCACAAAAACTATCTAATGATAATTCATGAACGTAGACCAAAAAGAAGGCGAAGGAGAGTCGCGGTGTTATAATTGTGAATAAATTAAACAACTCATCACACCATTTAAAGGCAGTATTTTTTGTACGTATACATACATGCAAAACACAATCCTCGTTCGTCGTTTTACACATGCGCACGTGGGTATTATTCAAGAGCTGCCACCAGATGTCATGACCACCATTCGATCTCCCTCAATCGACCCTTAATTGATTATATAACTCCCGAAAGGGATGAATTAATTATGAACAAATTAAAAGGAGGCGTAACATTAAGACACGACACCACGACCTGTTTCTTTTCTGGGTAGAATTGAAGATCATTTATAAAGAGAGGCAAAGCGGTTGAACTCTGAAGTACTCCCTAGCTCGTGGCTCCACGACCAGGGACCAGGAGAGGAGAAATTAAGGATCGAAATTAAAGCAAACACATGCACAGACCAAATTAAATACTTTGATATGTACATTAATTAATTATTCTAGTGTATTGACTACGTACGTACATTAATATGTATTCATCTCATTTGCCTACCTGTTGATTATAGTTCCTTCCTGCTGGCCGGTGCTTAATTATTGCACCTTCTACGTGCCTACATAGTACATACATTCATTGCTCCTCCATTCTTCATC